GTTGGGCAGTGGTTAAACATTTGCCTGCTAACCCAAAAGTTGATGGGTTCAAACAACCAGTTGCTTTGCAGGATAAAGATGTGGCAATTTGTTTCTATAAAGACTTACACCCTTAGAAACACTATGGGCCAGTTCTACTCTGTTCATTAATGTTGACATTATGACTGGAATTGACTCAATGGCATTGGGCTTGATTTCAGTTTAGATTAAAAAGAGAACTTTTCATTCTTGGAATCCATGGGGAAATGGTGCTATTTAGACTCTTGTTGTTGTTGTTAGATGCCATCGAGCTGATTCTGACTCATAGCTACCAGATGTACAACAGAATGAAACACTGACCTGTTCTGCACCAACCTCAGGATACTTGTTATGCCTGACACCATTGCTGCTGTCACTGTGTCAGTCCATCTTGTTGGGGGTCTCCCTCTTTTTCAGGGCCCCTCCACTTTACCAAGCATGATATTCTTCTCCATGAACTGGTCCCTTCTAATAATAAGTCTGAAATATGAGAGAAAAAATCTTGTCATCTTTTCTTCTAATGAGCATTCTAGTTGTACTTCTTCCAACACAGATTTATTCATTCTTTTGGTTGTCATTCTGGTACCTTTAAAATTCTTCTCCAACACCATAACTCGAATGCATCAATTCTTCTCTGGTCTTCATTATTAATTGCCCAACTTTCACATACATATGAGGTTACTAAAAATACCATGGCTTGGATCTGACGCACCTTAGTCCTCAAACTCTTGTTAGGATTTTGTAAAACATATAAACAAAAATATCTCTAAAACATATACCCCAAAAAACAAAATCCACTGTCGCTGACTTAATTCAGGCTCATAGTGACCCCATAGAACAGAGTAAAACTGTTCCATAGGATTTCAGAGGCTGCTACCAGCTCTTCCGCGGGAGAAGATGAGGCTTTCTGCTCCCATAAAGATTTACAGCCTTGGAAACCCTGTACAGGGTCGCTATGAGTCGGAACCGACTCCATGACACAGAGCCACCACCACCAAATCTTTGCAGAAACAGACTTCCTCATCTTTATCCCACAGAACCACTGGTGGGTTCAAATCACTAACCTTTAAATTAGCAGCTCAATGCTTAACCCATTGCACCACCAGAGATCCTTCTAAAATATGTACCCTTGACAATTAATTCATATGAACCTTTACTCCCTTTCAAAATATACTAAGAGTTAAAAAACATGAGTAAAGTCAGAAGAACTAGACTGTGATAATCAGACATGGATTGAGCTTTGATATTTTATATTTGTTTCTTTTGGAAAGACTTTCTGTGGTACTCACTGGTATCTTGGTATATATCCAAGAGATATTATGGTTCCAATGTTCATCTGTAATCATGCTCAAAAATGAGCCAAGCATTGTTTCAAAAACTAGCTTAACTGGGTTTTCTTACCAAACCAATTAAAATGTAGATATGGAAAATTCAGATCCACCACCCAAATTGAGAATAAAGCTTTCATATCAGGATTAGCATATCTTTAAACTTTTTTTTTGTTGTTTTTTTGCAGTTTTGATTATCATCCATTTCTATGGCTTTTTGTACTAATGTACTCTCATAGATTTTTTTCAAACATATATTCTCTGTCTTAAAAACACAGAACCAGTGATGTGATTGATTTTTTTGTGTGATAAAGGTCAGCATGATATCTACATATTGTATTAGATATCATATACACGCAGTGACTATTTTATGCCTAATTGGACATTTTTTTCATTAGAATTTTCTATAATTTTTTTCTAATTAGATAGAGATGTATTGGTCATAATAGACAAGCACAGATTCTAGAAAGCGATCTGATCTTTGTATCTAGGTCTTTCTATGTTCACTGTTATTATTGCTTAGAGTCAGTTCTGACTCATGACAAGCCTATGTGTCACAGAGTAGAACTATAGGGTTTTGGTGGCTGCAATTTTTATGTTAGACGCACTCCAGGTCTTTTCTTCCACAGTACCCGTGGGTGGGTGTGAAGTACCAACCTTAAGGCTAGCAGTAGAATACAAACTGTCTGTACCATCTACAGACCTGCATGTCCATTGTTACAATGCTATTAATCCAACATCCACTGCAAGCATGGCAGCATTCTTGGTCGTGTTAAAGTTTGCAGGTATGGGAAAGAAATAATATTTGCTGCCATAGAGCTTGCAACTGATCGTCTCTACTTGTGGGGTTTTGTTGTTGTTGTTAAGTGCCATCGAATGGTCTGACTCATAGTGACCCTATATAGAGTTTCCAAGGAGCAACTGGTGAGTTTGAACCACCAACCTTCCCATTCAAACTGACCTTGAGGTCAAGTGCTTATCCTATGGCAAGATACATATATCAGAGTGACCGATCCTTCTGACTTTCACTAATTTGTAAATGATTTTCAATAGATCATTCGAAGGCAAAATAATAAATGCAACTGGTTTCTTTCTGTCACATATGCTGTGTTTCAGACTGTACATGGAAGATAAAATTGCACAGTCTCTGATTACTTAAAGACTCAAACATTGATTAACTTTACTTCCAAATCTTTAAATCATTGTATAGTTCCTTATTTTTTTCAGACAACATAGTTAATGCTCAGTTACAAGATGTGACTAGAATAACAGCTTGTCTTTTCTCTAGTTCTAACTGCTGTTCTTCTTTGATAAATTAATGTGATTTCTAGAAAAATGTTTCTTGGCAAAGTCTTGAAAATATGGATTATTTCTTTTTCTCATGATGACTTTGCATGGATTCATGTGGAGAAAAATGTTTCAGACAAAATATAAATGCAGTGGTGAAAATTGTTTGGGTACATCAGATGGAACTTCAGATAAATTTTCAAATCATCAATATTTTAATGCATTGTCATTTTAGAAAGTTCACTTTCTAATTTCTAACTTTGCCTCAGACTTCCTCAAACTTGGTTGGGGAAAATCTGGATTTGGACAGGAAGAGAGTCAATACTCAAACGTTTTAGATATAAAATCACACAGTTAAAATTGATATGTTGAAGAATATTATATCTTAAGCAGTCTCAGGTCTGACCAAACCAAAAAATGCCACAACTTTTAAGAACAGTGACTTGATTTTTTTTTTTTTTTTTAATTGCCTAAGCTTACGGTGCCTAGTATGGTACTGTAGGATAAGTACTGGGCCAAACGGTCAGCATGAACCACAAGGTCAGCAGTTCAAACTCACCAGCCACTCCTCTGAAACCCTAAGCACAGTCACTATGACTTGATGGCATTTAACAACAATAAGCTTATAGACCTGCTGTTTTCTTATGGTGTCTCACATAGGATAAAATTGAATCAATGTGTTTATAAGATCTTCCAGCATGGTACAGGTCCATGTACTAAATCAAAGGAAATAGGAAAAGCTATAAACCAATTGTTAACTGTATGAGCAATGCTATGATCCCATTGAATTTAAACACATTTCAATGAAATATTTCCATTTCCCTCTGCTAAGTCATTTTACTACATGATTTGAAACAGATGAAAATATTTTATCCAGATTCTATGGATTTTCATAATGGGATTTTAAATTTATTATAATTAATGATGATTCATATAATTTTTCTCAAAAGAAGCATGGTAAAAACAAGCAAAAAACAAAAAAACACTAACAGAGCACTTAATATGTTTAAGGGCATCCTTCCAGAACAGAAGTTTGGGTTCTTACTTTTACCACTATTCCATGCTAAGGTGTTGGGTGTCAGGTCACAATAATCCAAATACTCATTCCATGGATTTAGCTCATTAAAAGGAAGGGAATATTCATGTCCAGCATACTAAAATGGAGTATTTAGAATGGTCCTATAAAGGCATTGAAAATTATGTCAACCAGATGCCTTTGACTCAATTCTAACTCATAGTGATCACATATGTGTCAGAGTAGAACTGTACTCCATAGAGTTTTTAATGGCCAATATTCCAAAAAGAGATAGGCCTTTTTTCTATGGTGCCTCTGAGTGGATTTGAAGTGCACCTTTCAGTTAGCAGCTGACTGTGGTAACTGTTTGCATCATCTAGGGACTCTATAGGTCTAAAATCTTTAGGTATTTTATATGTTTGAGCTTCTTTTTTTATATTAGATAAAATAATCCAGTAATTTTGTACTCTCTCCTTCCTAGAACCTTTGAGGAGTTTTGAGTATCATGACCGGGAAAGGGTGATAGGGTAAAGTTGAAAATGCTACTAGCGTTTAGTGAGTAAAGACCAGGAATGCCAATAAAAATCCTACAGGAGAGCCCCTACAACAAAATTATCAAGAATTATCAGGCCCAAAGGCAATAATATTAAGGTAAAAAAAACCCTGGAGTAACAGATTTCAATTGGAGGAACTAATCTCTGGTGACCTAGAGATCCTATAGTTCAATAGAAGCAACTGTGTTGTGGAAGAGATGTAGTCATGCTGACCTCAGAACGAGGGATTTGAAATAAAGTATGACTTTATTGTTGGGATACTTAACACAGGTTCCTGAGTGAACATTTCCCTCAAAAATGTGTATGGCATTTCACAACCACCCCATTTATCTCTCTGGAAATAATAATAATAAAAATAGCCGTAGGAGATCATATTTTTACTGTTACAAAGGTCAGGAAGACCTTGGTCATCTCTTTGAAAATGCTTTGTGATAGTCCATAAATAGAACTGTCAAAGATACTAGTTTCCAGGTATTTATCAATCTGACATTTAAACATTTGCTGAAAACAAAAGTAAGGAGTGAGGTTATGCTTTTAGTCTATAACTATCTCTTTTAAAGACTTCTAGCAACACTAGGTTCTTTATAACCATCCTCCCATACAAAAGGTACAACCAAATGAATTACTTTATATTTTTAAATTATGCTACAAGTAGGTATTAAGCATTTTGAAAACTGTTTTTGGAATTTTAAAGGTTACTACGTTCTGAATGACACAGTATCTCATGTTTTCCCACCAAACTTTTTCCCAGCAGTGAATATATCTGGATCTTATTCTGGTGTTTCATTCTTTTTTTAGCTTCCTGAAATGACTCATGTTCAAACACAGCGACCGTGGTTGATGTTTCTCCTGCAAAACCTTGGATTGATCCTAGGTTGGCTCTCTCTCTTACTGTTGGCTATATATGAACAAAATATTAGCATATAGAGGCTTTGTAAGGATTCTCAAAATTCTTCCAAAATAAACTTACATGGTTTCACTTTGTTGTTGTTGTTTTTGTACTATATAATGGTTTGTAAGTTGAGTCTTTTATCTTAAGTAATGTGCATATTTTAATTCATTAACTTATTCATTTTATAATGCAATTTTGTTTTTATGAATATTTAAAATTGGGTTGTCCTTCCTTGACATTTTTATTTTGGTTTACAACTTTGTGATGGAACTCATACTGTTTTCAATAATTCGTAAATACTGAACTAATCCTAGGAAGCTTCCCAAAATATTTTGCTTTCCAAACAAAGATTTGTAGTATTTGAAGTGGACTGATTCCTAAGGCTTAAAGGCTTAGATGCTATAATGGGCTAAATGGGCATTCTTTTCTATGTAATAATAAGTCATAAGCAAGCTAAATTATAAGAAATGCAATAAAATCTAGTCTTATTGTGATGTCTTATATCACATTCTATTATTGAATGTCAGTTTCTGAATCATCTCTCTCAAAATCAATGTAGTAGAGTTCAACAGGAAACCTTACCTGCTGGCTCATATGTGTCCACGTATAAGCAATCTTGAAAATTCTAAAAGATAAATGTATCAGCATTCTTCTGTAGAATCATCAGATACAATTGATTCCAGACAAAGAGGGCTGGAAACCAAAGTATAAATCAAAACTTTGAAAAATAACAGAACTTAAGTTAGGTAGTAGATTAATGTCTGAATTCTTACAGATTTAACAGAATGTAGTTATTGGAAGACTCTTACTAACAAATGACAGATATTTTATATTATTTTTGAGGAAACATAGAACACAGATGGATATCATTCAGTACGTTCATGAAATTAACAAACAGCATTACGGATTAAACTAGAAAAAATATTAAAATAGAAAACAACCCAGGTTTTAATCATTTTCCTAGAAAATATATACTCTACTTTTGGGGAGGAGTATTTTGAGTTGCAGAGTAGCTCATTTGACTTGCAAAATGACTCATTGTATTAATTCAAATACATCTTTTCTGCCTCTGGCCCACAGTAGATATGTACTCTTTGCCATGCTCCACCCAATATTACTTTTCTTGGCCGCTTGTTCTTTGATTTCTTCTTCAGTTGTCTTCAGAGCTTGATTTAAGAGGACAACTCAGTAGTTCTCAAACTTTGGGACATGTCAGAAACACCTGGAGGATTTGTTAAAAGGCAGATTGCTGCCCCTTTCCTAGAGTTTCTGGTTCTGTGGCTCTAGAGTTGGGAAGGGCCCCCAGCACTCCTCAATCAGTTTATCATACTGTGGTGACGTGCATGTTGCTGTGACTCTGTGGAAACTATACCACCAGTATTTTAAATACAAGCAAGGTAAACCTGTGGTGGAGAGGTTTCAGCTGAGTTGGAACTGATGAACAATGTTGGAACAATGGCACCTAACAACAGGGTAGGGCCCGAGACTTTGACTTCTAATGAGTTTGGAGTTCCAGGTACTGCTGCTCTGACTGTTGGTGCTGCCACCACCTTGAACACCATTGATGCTGGAGGACCAGACTTCAAAAGACAGTGGGCTGCTCAACACCGATAAGGGGAAGTGAGGGAAAAACAGCAATGAAGCAGTGAGCTAAGCCCTACAACGTTCAATAGACTTCTGTGAACCCGGGTGAAGATCTGGTTGGCCAGCAGTGTAGCAAGACCTGGGGACTCTTGGGCCCAGAGTCAGTGACATAGCCACAGAGGACTAGAGTGGAGAGTGAAGTGTCCAGCTGATAAGAAGAGAGGGCATATGCATAAGAACACCCACACTTGCAGATAATACCCACTTATCCTGGCTTCAGTGACTGGATGATCAGAGCTCAATCAGAAGTACAAAGAAGAGGGGGAAAAAAAAAAAGTATTCTCATACAATTTGATGAACTTGACCTACACGTATGGAAACAGTAGCTCAAGAGAGCGAACAAGTCCTTACAGCAAGAATCATTCCCACCCCCTCCACACACAGAGTAGACAGGGATGGGTAACTTGGACATTGGCTACCCAAAATGGGGCGTGTGGGGCTACAAAGGCAAGAAGTGACTGGCTTACAAGCTTTCAAGAGGGAATCTAGATCCAGAGGGCATGGAGGAAGGTAGAATCTCCAGTGAGTAGTATTCAATCTGTCTAGGCGGGGTTGATGCAATGAAATGCAGACGGGTCTCTTGTGATACAATATTGAATAATTGTTATCAGGACTGATTGTGAGGGTTGGAAATGTAAAGGTCGATGTTTTATAGCAAGGAGGGGAGTGATTAACTTTTCAGTCTAGGAGCGGAGGTCCCTAGGACCATCAAGGGAGAAGAGCAGAGAGTGGGACCCTACCCAGAGAAGCAGTGATGCTTGAAATGGAGCCAGAGATGATGACGTGGAGCAATGGAGCAGCTGGAGACTCTAGACCCAGAGAGGGAGAGCGACTGTGTGCTGAAGACCTGGGGGGTACGGGGGTGGTGGTGGTAAGGATTACATGGAGGGGATTGTAACCATGGCAATGAGAGACAATATAAAATAGAATGAATGTAAAACTAATGTTCTCTCATGTAAACTATCACATAATTCACAATAAAACATTAAAAAAAAAAAAAAAAAGACAGTTGGCATACAGCTCTGTTGATGAAAAGCCCAGTGCTTTTGAGTAAGTGGGTTAATACTCCTGCAAGTCTCAGGATTATTGTTGGAGTTTTCTCATATGATTTCCTAGCTTAAAGCCCCTTCTCTTTCCCCTCTTGTCTTAGAGCCTAGGGTCAGTCCAGGAATTACTGGATGAGGAACCAGCCGATAGTACTTTTAGTTATATTTACCGTGATGGCTAAGCAGATCTGACACTTAGCGCCTTGTCCTTACTTTCTTAGGAAATACTTTATAGTTGAACGAACACCCCTTTGTGAAGGTAAACACAGTGTGGAGGTCACATACAAAAAGAAACTGTGACCATCTGTGTTTGGGTTTCTATGACCAGGCTCTGAGTTTGACATTAAGCCTTAATTTAAGACAATTTAATTAGAAAAGCTCTGATGAATGACTTCATTCCAAGTTTAAGTTTGGAGTATTTTAGGGCTGGTTAGATTAAATATTTTGGTGTGAGATACATCATAATCTTCAAGTTAGAAGGGGTTTGACTTAACTGTATTGTAAGGAGGGCATCGCTGGCTTCTGCAAACCATTAAGCACTTGGCTACTAGCCAAAAGATTGGAGGTTTTAATCCACCCAGAGATTTCATAGAAGAAATCTACTTCTCAAAGTCCATCCATTGAAAACCCTATGTAACACTTATACCCTGACATATATGGAATCATATTAGACACAATTGATTTGATGACAACTGGTTTGGGTTGTTTTGTTTTATTTTAATGATGAAGTTGGGAGTAAGGTACAGAGGGGCTTGAAGGGAGCCAGTCTAAAGTTGGAAAGCTTAGAAGGATATGTTCAGTGAGTATATTCCAGGTCTTTGTCCAGTATGCCCTTATCGTCAGGGGTCATCTGCCAGAGTCATCCCAAGGCTAGTGAGATGAGCTCTTCTCTAGGCCCTCTATTCTTCACCTGATCTATCTGCCTTAGGTTACTGACACTTTTCTAATGTGCATCAGTGTTCACACAGTACACCAATATCGTGCAATGGACTCCAGTCAACCAGAAGCAATCTTAGAACGATTAGAATATTTTACTTTAAAATTGCATGGTATTTCTATGAATATTATGATAACTGTTTTCCACCTTATATGGACAGACCCAAATATGGAACAGCTGAACATTGTCATCCCTTCTTAGTTACATGTTATTCACTGAGCTTTCTGGTAAATGGTGTTTTCCTTGAAACTAAATTTCTCAATATTTACAATATTTCTGTTTACTAGGTCTAAATTTAGGATTCATCTTTATTTTTACTTGGTGATGAATTTGATTTTTAGTCACTGAACTAGAAAAATTCCTGGGGAAAAATCAAAGAGCAAATCAGACAGAAATCTGATCCAAAGATTCATCATCCATTGACAGAGCCAAACATGTTTTGGGAAAGAGGAATTGGTATCTTTCTGTGATTCTGAGTGCAGAGCCTGGGAGGATGATTCCACAGAACCAGTCATATAGAAGGTGTCTATTAATTATGGCCACAGTTGCCCTCTGCCACAGTTGTTCAAGCTCACCAGCTGCTCCTTGGAAACCCTATACAGAGTTGCTATGGGTCAGAATCGACTCAACAGCACTTAACAACAACAACTTATCCCAGAACCTAGACTTTGGAGCTGACACGATGATATGGAACCAACTCAACTGGTTTTTCCTCTTGAAAGCTGGAGAAGAATGGTCAGTTGGGAAGCTGCTAATGACTAGACTAGAACAGTATTCAGGTTGGGGCTTTTGGGTGATGATTAATAATACAGGCTCTTAATTGGAATCTTGATTCAAATTCCAGGTAGGCCACCTAATAGCCTTGTAGCTTATTGGAACATCCATTTCCTTTTCTGTAAAATGGGGCTAAAAATAAAACTTACCTCACAGTTATGTTGAGGTCAAAATGGAATATGCTCATGAAGTACTTAGCACAGTGCCTGGAACATACTAATGATTCAATAAATATTAAATCATTATCATCATCCCTGGTATGCCCTTCCTTCATTACAGTTTGACAAGTAAGTTAGCTCTCCAAGCTGTACCAAGGAAGTGCCTTTCTGGGTAGAGAATGAAGATAAACCTTTGTATATATTCAGTCTTTTGAATTGTCTTTAATGTTCTTTTCATCTTATCTTACCTCCAGAACCAAGACACAAGACTCCTCTGGTTTACCCCACTCCACCCCAGGAAGGCTTATTCCATGGGTCACAATACTCATTGTGCATTGCTCTGGCTTATTCATTATCTCTTATCATAATTGAAATCTTATTATGTTCCATTCCAGCACTGCTTCCTGGGATGTGCTTGTGAGTAATGCAACCCATTGGAGAGGAACCTGTCTGAGGCCATGGTTATTGTCCCAACT